TATATATATATATATATGTATATATATATATATATGTATATATATATATATATGTATATATATATATATGTATGTATATGTGTATATATGTATGTATATGTGTATATATGTAATATTTGAATATTTGTATGTTAGGACATTAACAGAGTACTCGAGTAATCTACACATCGATTGCTAGGACATCTACCGAGGTTAAAGAATATCCATTGTGACGTCATATTATGTGACCACCGTATGAACGTAGGGGGCGGTGTTGCACTGTTGCGGGTCACAGAATATGGTGTAACACTGGGTCCAATCCACCAGAACCAGTTTCGGTTTAAGTTTCGTTTTTGACGTGCTGCATGTTTTTTTCACGGTTGCAGTTTAATAATAATAACTAATAGTTTAGTTTTTCCTGTGACTTATTTGCAGTATTATAAATGGTAGGAGCATAATATACGCTCCCAATGTTTTGTTGGTCTTTTTTTTTGTAAATAATAACCTTTTTTTTGCGGTTTTATTTATTTATTTATTTTTGTATCTTGAAATCTAAGACGTCATCAAATACTCAAGTTTTACTTGGGTTTTATTATGTTAATGTCGAGTTTAAAAATTATATACTCGTTCAACCCCTAGTTTATGTATATGTATATATGTATATGTGTTTTTTTATTTTTTTTTTTATTTACCGTTTATTTATCCAGGTAGTCTCATTGAGCCACGAGAACTCATTTTCAAGAGAGACCTGTTTAGGGAGCAGATGGTGGGGGTTAAGGGCCTTGCTCAGGGGCCCAGATTTGGGCGAATGAGGGTGGAGGGAGGTGTGGGTGTTTCACCTTTTCCACCCATATTTTGATGTTGACGGTACCGGGAGCTGAACCTGTGACTTTCCGATCACAGGCCCACCTTCTCTAACCTCTGTGCCACCACTCCCCAATAATATAAATAAAAATATGATATAATAAAATATTTTAAGTAACGTTGAAAATTCAGCTAATATTCATCGCTTTTTCAACTTTTTCATAAAAAAACTGCAATTAGCAGAAGCAAGTCATTCAGCTTTCACATTTTTCTTTTTGTACTTAGACAAAATCGTAACATTCAAACCTTCTTGCTGTGTTGATTTTTGTAGGTTGTGCGAAACCTCCCTGACAGGGAAGTATTCAGATGTGGATGGAAACCTCCACACCACTCGTTCCGTTGCTCTGGCTAGGAGTCAGGAGTCTTTATATCCTGAAGACATTACGGTTAGCAAACTCACACAAACATAACAAAACATGTGTGTTGTCATTTTAACAGAAGCCAAATACATCATGTATGCAGATACAAGTACTGTAAATATGATGTATGTTGTCATCCATAACATATATGTTCAGGATGACATATGCACAACATGCAAACACCTCCTACATGGTTCATCAATGACTTCACAACTTTGTTAGGAAGTAGTTGTAGTTTATTTAGTGTTTATTTAGAGTTTATTTAGTGATTAAAACTGCTTCACCCCACAGCTGCTCACTGATACATGTAGGTGTCCTTCTTAACCATCAGCAAAGATGGGCTGATATTCTGTTTCAAATTCAATATCATGTTCACTCTAATTGGACAACCTGGTTTCTAAAGATAAAGGATAAAATAAAAGACAAAAGTATTTCATTTCGTATGTGAATGCACGCGATAAATAAGTCTCAGTACTGGTCCGTACACATGACTAGTTTTCATCACAGCTCAGGCAGCTGCAGAACATCAGCTGGGTTTAAAAAGTGCTAATTTTTTTTATTGATGATCAGACCATATTATTTCTGCAACAGAGAAATATTTTCAGCGGGGAGGGAGGAGGGGGCCGGAGCAGGTACAGTCTATGTAGAAGGGGAGGAGGAGGAGGAGGAGGAAGGTGTGACCTTAGCATTTATTTACAGGTCGACCCTGAGATGGAAAATAAATTTGAAGGAGAGTTTTTGAAGAATCCACAAGACTTTCCCTGTTTGTTTGTAGTCATGAAGTTTCTGTTAGACTTGACATGTTTGACAATGAAATGGGGTGTAGCTATACTACATTCAGTGATAGTGAAAACAGGAAGGAATTAAAAAAAAATGTTGTTGGTCAGTTTATCATACCAATTTAACTGTTATCCCCATACCAACCTATATGTGACCCGTATACCAACCTAACTGTGAAGAAGTGCTTGTATGCTGTGTTAAAATTTTTTCTATTTGTGTTACACACCTGTATTATGTTTTCCTTCAGGGTTCTCGGCCAGTTGGACAGGTAGACAAGCACATCCTGCTGCTGGTGCATGGAGTGGGAGATGCAGGTAGGATGTATGAGAGGCAAGAGTTGCATTCGGGCCTAAAAAATCTGACCCGACCCGGTCCCAGCCTGTAGCCATTTTTTCCGAACCTGACCCAACCCGACCCTATCATTTAACTGTAATTACAGGCCCGAACCCAAAAAACCCACAAACTTTTTTTGTTAAATTAAGCTTTTACTGCTTTTGTAAGCAAATCAGTTTGACATGATTTCAAAGAAAGGAAGATGTAAGATTTTTTGTTTATTTTACTAGTTTATTTATGTTTTAGTCACCAAATGGATATTAACATACACAACTAATAGCTTAAAAATCAACTCTAAAGATAGGCTATTACACAGATGAACAAAAATATTTTTAGAGTAAAATTACTTGGAAAAATACAGAACAAGTCTATTTTAACTGAACGTGCTGCTCGCTTCGACTTTTGTAGCTTCAGATGCTGCTACTTCCTTCACCGCAGATGATAGCAGGTGCGGAGACGCGCGCAGCCGGTGATCAGCTGATCCATCTGAGCTTATCAGGACATTTTTTTTACCTCTTTCAACAGGTCGGTTGGGCCTGCCTCCTCCTCAACAAGTAGATTAACATTATTTTATCTCGTGCATTCTTATTTAGGTTTTTTTGTGCTGTATGATTCGTAAAACTGTATCAAAAGCCTGAGACCGACCTGGCCCACCCATCAAGCACCCGGGCCTGGGTTAGAAATCACAGCTCTATGAGGGGCTGAGTATGAGTAAAACAAAGATCCTCCAATGTTACAAATTATGATTAATATTCTCCTACTTCAATTAATATTTTTACATTATTGTTTCTGTAACAATTCTTTGAAACATTTTCTGTGAAAAAAATCTTAAAACTGTGGGTATACTGCATCATGTTACTGGAAACCAACAGATCTTTATCCAGATCCCATTTCTTTCTTACTCTTAACAGATTTAGCTTCTTTGAACTATGGTATACCTTAGATGTTCAAACTGGGCCTTCTGCTGTTTACACTCTATATTGGTCCTTCCTGGGATGATTTTAGGCATAAAAAAACAATGTTAATATTTATTTATTTC